CTGTTTGATGATACAAAAGGTAGTTTATGCAAACTAGACAGGTAGGAATTTTATGGCTTGACAACATTAATATAATGTTGGTAAATGGTTTTATACAAGTGCCTACTGTATAAGACACTCTCTCTGAATATTAGAATATTAGAATATTAGAGCAGACCTCAAGGAAAATGCAGAAGCAGTATGGTGATGCATTGCACCTCTATAATGTACCATGCTCTAGGCCTGTGAGGCACTGTTGCCCTATCTTTCTGGGATACAGCATTATTGATTTGTAACTTCCAAGTCCATGCTCTTTTTGCAAAAGGAATGGAGTAGTAGATTCTAATGTTGTCCAGGTTCCTTTTGGGTACTATAACTTGCTTGGTTTTCTGTTGGATTTGATAGTTTTAATATTCTGAATTGATGTGTAGGGCTGTGATGTGCTGTCAGACAGCCATCTTGCATCGCCCCAGAGGTGGCTGCATTTCATTGATCATTGAAGTGATTACTGCTCAGTTTGGGAATTAGTAAAAGAACAAGTGACTGCTTTGTCATCCTTCAGTATAAAATTAGGGTATCAATGTGAAGTCACAAATCAAATCTAACGTTGTTATTTTTTTCCCTTCAACAAATTTTTATTTTGCTTTCAAGTCCCATAATGAGCGAGAGCGCCAGTGTTGCCAGTTTGGGGGCTATGCCAACAGCAGCACAACCATCCAACACTGGAATTCGAAAACCGTGGCATGAAGATATAACTCAGGACCTTCGAAATCATCTTGTTCATAAACTGTGAGTATCCAACACAAGTTCCTGTTAAGCTAAAAGGTGCTGGTGGTTTTCTAAAATGAAGTATACCCAGCTCCTTAGATTTACAAAGAACCTTGTATAGATCTTCTTTAAAAAGTTCTGTCTGGTGCATGTGGGTGTCTATATGTGAGCAGCAAGGCCGTTCCAATGCGCTGTAATTATGTGTTGGAGCAGACTCGATTTAATAGTCTGCTGGAACTTGGTAATTACTGCATTCCAGCAGATTCCAGTGTCTTGTGTATCAGCATCCCTGTGCTTAAAAATGGCAGCAGGGGCACTTTAACTTAAGTTTGTTGAACAAGCTTTAGTTAAAGCAACGCTGCTGCTATTTTTAAGCATGGGAATGCCAGTACGTGAGATGCTTCCTCTCCCCCACTTCCCCCCATTCCTGGAGCATGTGTATAAATGCCCTGTGAGACCAGGCTTAGAGAAGCTATGAAATCTGGGTAGCTTGTACATTTATCAAAAGCAAAAGGCTTTTCCAAGGTTGGACAATGAGTGTAGATTTTGGATGTGTCAGTAGTAAGAAGGAATAATTCCAACAGATGCAGTTATTTCCTCTTGTTTATGCTGTTTTTTAAAGTTGTCAGCTGCTTTAGTTCTGTCCCTGTTGTATCTAATATATCCCACTCTCTATTCCCAGTGGTAACGTTGGGAGAGAAATGGGGTATAGAGCCCACTAAATTTATTACCTCTTATTCCTAAAACAGTTTGCAAGAAACTTAGATTCTTTTGAAATGGTCTAAAATCTCCTAACTGATCAGTTCACTTACTTAGGTTCAAGGGGTTCATTTCTTTTTTAATCTGTTTGCTTGGGTTTTTCCCTTTTTCAGAGTTCAAGCCATATTTCCTACTCCTGACCCTGCAGCATTAAAAGACAGGCGCATGGAGAACCTGGTGGCATACGCTCGAAAAGTGGAGGGGGATATGTATGAATCGGCAAATAGCAGGGTAAGTTGCAATTTCCTTTCTCACTAGCGTGGGCTGATGTGCATAGAACTCAAGTTGTATGGACAGTAGACAGTATTCATGGAGTCAGTCTTGAACATACCTCGGTAGACTACAGAAATGAAGTAGTGGTTGTGGAGTGATGTAGAAGTTTTAACTGGGACAAGTTGGGTCCCAAAAATGAATAATGTGCCAGGGAACTTTTTGAAAAGGGTGGCAGCCATCCATACTGCTTAGCTTTCAAGTTTTTGCTTTTTTTTCTTAAGCATGTACATTTCCTTCTCTTTTATCCTCCTTGGGCCATGTTTGGGATTTCTCAGTTTCTCCCAAATGTACTGTAAAGTCAGTGCTTACACTTCACTGTGGCATCTATCAAAGAAATGCTCAGTGTCAGCAAAGGAATCTCCACAGGAGGTCCCAGCCACCTTACAGTTGCCAGAAATACTCTGAATTATGCCCACATAACCCTCAGGAAAGATTGTTGCTCAAAATGCTGCAAGAAAATAAAAGACTCAACCATAGTGCATATGGAGAAAGTCCTTTTTCCCATTCTATATTTGATCAGTTTTAATCTGTCAGCTTCACTTATTGCATGTTTCTTGTCTCATGTTCCCCCAACAGGCAGAGTACTATCACTTGCTAGCTGAGAAGATATATAAAATTCAGAAGGAATTAGAGGAAAAGCGAAGGACCAGACTGCAGAAGCAAAACATGATACCAAATGCACCAGGCATGCCTCAAGCTCCCATGAATCAAGGGCCCAATATGGGGCAGCCACAGCCAGGGATGTCTGCAAGTAAGGACAGTTGCGTTAGTTAAATGGGATTACCTGGTGCAGTGAAATTTATCATTGACCAAAATCCTTATCCCCTTTGTTTTACAGCTCATCTGGTAAAGTAGCTAAATGCATAATTTTTTTTAGTAGAACTCAAAACAGTTTTCTTTTTAGTGTATGGCCAAGTGGTGTTCTCGGGGCTGCTTATTTGCTGTTCATTGTTTTGTAAAATCTCATGCTCACTTGCATTGAGTTGGTGAACAGAGTCTGGTATCCTGACACAAATTTGAAAACCACGAATTCATCTTTGGTCACTGGCATCTGCAGGTTCTCGGTTAATAGCACATGCTTTATGTTGCTTCTGGTGAACGCCCTAGACCAATGGTACCTTTTTGTCTAGTGGGCTGTGTGGGTAGTGTCTGGTCCCATTGGCCCAGATCCAGCCAGTGAGCTCAATCTGGCGGCCAGAGCAGGTGTGATGGGGGACCCCATCTGGCTACATCAGAGAGATAGGGGACAGCCCTGCCTCAATCTTTCTGTGCCAGGGAAGGAGACTTGGCCTGGCCCTGCAGAGGGGGAGGGGACATAATTTAGCCCCAGGGCCAGGAGATGGTTGTGTCCTGACCCCACTGGGGAAAATGGCATAGCCTGGTTCCAGCCTGGCTAGGAGAAGGGAAAAAGGCATGGCCTAGACACATGGGGGAAGGAGGAGACATAGGCCAGTCCCAGAGCAGCTGCACAGGTGGAGGGGGCATGGTGCAGCCTCAGCCTAGCTGCACAGAGTAAAGTGGACATGGCCCTGCCCCAATCTAATCATGTGGGGGTGTGGTTGCAGCATAATTCTGATCTACCACATGGGGCTTGCAATTTTGGGAGCAGGGACAGGTGGTAGTATTAACTGCCACTGCTCCCCTACTGCCAAATTTCCCAACCTGTGGGAAGTCCCATGGGCTGAATTCCCAGGCTATGTTGGCCGCGTTCGGCCTGCAGGCTGAAAGGTGAACACCCCTGTCCTAGACCATGTGCAGCTTTAAAAAGAGACTGTTTAGTACTCAGTTTAGAGGCCATGTTGTACTTGTTTCCCTTTGCCTGTGAATTTGCATTATGCACCATTAGAGGCAGCTTCTAGGAGGCTCTTTTTAAAGGTGGTCCTGAAGTATAGGGGGTATAGCTGTAATCCTAACCTAGGGATAACAGATGCTGAGATGAGCCTGATGAGAGTTGCATTAGAGAGAGAGAGATGCTCATCTCTTGAATTTAAAAATTAAAAGTAATGGATTTGGGAAATCAGCTTTAGAAGTGCAGTGAGACCCTCTATTTATATTGTATGCTACCGGACTGGTGGGTTAGATGTCCTCCATTCTTTTGAAGTCTAAATCTCAGCTTATTCCATTTCTCTCTAGCAGCCACCCCCTCCTTTTACTCAAAATGAGCCCCTATGGCCCCTACACATGACAGGTATTGCACAATTAACTGGTTAATTTCACAATTACCTGGAGACCAGCTACATGTGTGAAGTAGCTGTCGCACAATAAAAAGCTCAGACTAGCTATGACATTAGTACACATTTTCAAGTTCTATCTTTATACATGGCTGCTGTCAAGCTTTAATTTGCATGTGTAGCAGTGTCTACTCTGTGGCTAGGAGCCCTTCCCAGCTGCAGGGGTGCACCATGCCCAGGGTAAAACCCCCAAGGCCTAGGGATTGAGGCAGCCTCATACCCAGGTGGTGGGGGTTTCCCGCACCCTTGAGTCCTAGGGATCGTGGCAGACGTGATTCTCCAGCCCTGGGAGTTCCCATGCACTCCCAGGGCAGGGAGATCATTCTCTGTTGATCCTCCAGCCCCAAGGGTGAATGTGATGCCCTCATGGCTGGGAGCCCCTCAACTGGGGTGCTTGGGGTTTCCAGGCATGGGAGCTTGGTGTTTGTTGGTGCAGAGGCAACCTGGGATCAGCATCTCCCCTGCATCAGCAATAATGTGGGATTGTGTGAATTGTGCATTATATCCCATCATGCCTTTACCTGCATGTGTGGAAGGGGCCTCGATGTTGTGTTCTGGTGTTTGCAGCCTGGCAGCTTCAAGAAAAGTGCCAGGACCAGAACATTGACCTTCTCCTCACGTTTGTTGACCTAACCAAAGCCTTCAACACAGTAAACTGTGAAGGCCTCTGGGAAATCGTGAAGAAGTATGGATGCCCCAGAAAATTCATCAATATGGTTCGACAGTTCCTTGCGAATGGCAAATGCTCTGACCCCTTCCCGTCACAGATGGCGTCAAGCAGGGTTGTGTGCTTGCACCTACCCTCTTCAGCATGGTTATTCTCTGCCATGTTGTCAGATGCCTTCCAAGATGATGACCAGGGATCCTGGTTTTCTCTGATTTAAAAATTGCAAATTCTGTGATTTTTTTTAAAAACCCAAAATCCATGATAAAAATTAAAGACCCCCTCCAGCCCCTCCCCAGTGCTGCTGGTGCCCTGCACTCCCCCCTCCCTCCCCCCACCACACAGTCTCAACAGCCCTCCTGATGCCCCTCACAATGGCCCCACAGACATGCATACAGAGGCACACAGACACTGACACCCACCCCAGCAGGTAAGCATGTGTGGGGGGAAGGGGCTGGGTAGGGCAGGGGAAAGGGAAGGAGCTGGGGGAGTAGATCAAGAAGTGGGGGAGCATGCCCCTGTGCCCACTACCAGGAGCAGGGCCAGGGGGTGAGGGCAGGGTTGCCACTCTGAGAGCCACATGTGGTGGCTGGCCTTGATGGGTTTTGCACATGGAGGCTGCCACCACGACTCTGCCACTGCACCATGCACTACCATCCCATGGCCACCCGCACAGCTTTGTGGGCAAGTAATGCAGGGCATGGCAGCATGGTGGCAACCACTGTGTGTGGGCCACATACATGCCACCCAGCCAGGGGGTGGAAAGGGGGGCTTACATGCAACGGCTGCCACTGTATCACTGCTTATGCCTCGCGACCGGCTGCATGGCTCCGCAGTGGTTTGGGGTGCTGGTGGCTACATGCTGGCTGGGGCAGGGGGGCTATGTGGGCAAGCACTGTCACCATGGAGCCATGCCCTTTGCCGCTGGATCCTAGAGGTAAGTAGGGCTTGGAGGCTGTGGGGCAGGGCTGGGAAAGATGGTTGGGGGCTGAGGGAGTGGGGGGGTGCTGCTAGCCCCAGGTGGCACAGTGCAGCTGGGAGCAGGGCCAGGAGGTGAGGGTAGGGGTGCTCCTCTACGGGAGCTTTGTAGGCAAGCGATGTGGGGCGCAGTGTGGTGGTGCCTGCCATGTGCGGGCTACACATATGCTCCCCCTGTCCGGCTGCCTGCGGGGGGGGTGGGGGTTTTCATGTGGCTGGCTGCACAGCTCCATGGCCGGCTCTGCAGCAGCAGTGAGGGATGGTGGCTGGGGGGTGGGCTCGCATGCTGCCGCTTACCTGTAGGGCTGTGCCAGTGGTGATGGTTACTGCCTACAAAACCTTCCCATGTTGCTGTGTGGCTGGCCGCAGGGTGCCAGCAGCAGTGGCAGGGTGGTGGTGGCCATGGCTGCCATGCAGCGCAGGGTGGTGGTGGCCATGGCTGCCACCACAGTGCTGCTGCAGCTGGCTGCACGGCTCTGGGCACAGCCCCACGTGACTCAGGGAGGTTTTGTGGGCAGTGTCCATCAACGCTGGAACGGCTCTATAAGTAACTGACAGCGG